GGTTGAACTCTGAGCCTTTCCATCCTGAAGCTAGAGCCAATCAAAATACCATTCCAATCCAACCTGCCAGTAGGGTTTAAGGTTTTTACAGCTGCCATGCGCTCCCCACACTCTTTTGGAAAATCTTAAACATGTCCGGCTTAGGGTTTTAGGATTTAGGGTTTAGGATTGAGGGCTTAGGGTTTAGGTTTCGGGTTTAGGATTCAGGGTTTATGATTGAGGGTTTAGGGTTTTACGGATTACCGCATTCCCTCTGGGGAGCACGGACTGAAGGATGGAACCGAAAATGGAACCTAATATTTTGGGTTGGTACTAGATTATGGAAATTGGGGTTCTCTGTAGGGACTACTATAAGGATCCATTCCTTCATTCCTTGCTAACAAGGAGTATGTCTGAGGAGTTGGTCTTTTCAGATCTGTCCTTTGCAGCAAGGGGAGATATACGGGTTATATAGAAGTTATATAGGGATTGTACGTGGATGATATAGGGACTATACAGGGATTACATAGGGATTATATACAGATGATAGATTAGATGCAAAAGTAGCATGTAGGGCTGTACAAGGATGTATAGATCCTCATTCAGGAGAGAAATCACTCCCTAAACCCTTGATCTTAAACCCTAAACCGCTAAACCCTAAAACCACACACACCCAAAAACAAAAAAAAATCCCGTCAAGCCCTCAACCAAACCCTAAAAGCGTAAGCCCTTAAGCCCTGAAACCGGCAGTTCGGCCTGAGAAGTCGGAACTGCCCGGGCGAAGTGCAGTTCCAATGAGCTCATGGCACACCACTCGGCGATAGCGCATCTGCTTGCCTAGGGCTTAGAGCTTAGGATTGAGGATATAGGTTACAGAGTCCTAAACCTTAAGCCCTAAACCCTTTAGGGTTTATGGTTGCCTTTTAATATAAAGCCCGAAGTCAAGGGCATCTTGGGGTCTATATTGAGGTCGAAACTCCCAAATAATATAGTTGTTCGCATTGCCCCCAGCAATACCCGTATAACTTTTTGTAGGGAGACCAAACGTGTCCTAAACCCTAAACGCAGGGGTGACTGCAGCATCTGGAACCATGGACCCTGTGTTCGGATATAGGGGAACGGGAAACACAATAACATCTTATTTAAGGTCCGGGTTTAGGGTAACCCCACTCTGTGGCTTATCTACCTTGACTCCTCCCAAAACTCTCAGAGCCTCAACCCTACACCCCCAACCCTACTTCACTCTAAACCCTCAACCCTACTCAGCCCTACTCCAACCCTATTAAACCCTAACCCCTCAACCCTAAACCTATCCTTCACTGCCCCAAGGGGCCGCAGGATCGACTGCACTCACTCCAGTCCCCCTGAGACCAGGTGTAAATCTGGCTTGGGCGTGGCTCCCCGCAGCGGCAAAGCCTGGGTTTAGGGAAGGTTTTAGGATTTCAGTGGCCGTAAGATGGGTATATCGGGTTTAGGGTTTAGAGTTTAAGTTCCCATAAGATGAGTATAGAGTAAATCATAGGGGTTCCCTTTGATAGCAACTTAACTTAAAGTTCCTTAACAGCAACCCAGTAGCTGGGGAATCCGTTCTGTTGCCTCAGCGCCTTGCCCCGGAAAGTTGTTGAGCCAGAGAGCAGCACGGCCATTGTCGGCTGTGGCATACTCCCAAGAACAGAAGGAAGGAACGTTACCTGGGTTGCTGTCAAGGGATTCAAACTAAGTTGCCGCAATATGGGTACATAGTGAATAATAGGGCTTCCTGATTATAGCAGCTTAATTGAATTCCCTTAACAGCAATCCAGTTACCGGATAATCGGAGCTGTGCAGATGCGGCCGACCCATCGCTGCTTGCAAAGCCCATAGCAGCTGCTGCTTGCTCGCATTCCTCCCGTCCCTCTATGGGCGAACACCCTTCGTCCTGACAAAAGCCTGCCATTACCAGGGCTAAGGCGGGTGAGTTCGTAGCGCAGATCGCTGGTGGGGGAATCGCATCCGCCGGACACTTCCCCGGCACACAACACCGTCCCAGCACCCCTTCGGAAGAATCAGGGCACGTCAAATAAGTTGTATCAGCACGGCACATCTCCTGAGTGGCAAGCACTGCCAGGTCCAGTGAGCAAATCCGCTTGTTCGGCGTGTGGCTTGAAGCCGACCACCACCCAGGTAGACCCTGAGCCACAGCAAAAGGTGGGCTTTGCTCCCCGCCATGGTAAGGGTCTGCCAGCACATAACCCCATGCAGAGACCCGTTTTAGGTGGAAAGTTGCCATCATGCGAAACTGAAATGTTCCATCATCCTCCGACAGTCTCAGGTCAGAGAACTTTCTGAAGTTGTCGGAGAATCTGCGCACTAGGTATTTTCCGTTGCTGCAGCTGATCAGCGAGATGCAAGCCTTGGCCAAGCAGAAATGAGGAACTTGACGGACTCCAAAGCTACGACACAGGCAATGCATGGCCTGATAGGGTTCTATAGGGCTATATAATAAAGGGATTTTCTAGGGTTTAGGGATAGTGCCTTGAGATGAAAAGTGCACTGGGGTTATGTGGTAGCTTCCGTATATAGCGGGACCCCAAGACAGACCCCAGCAATTTCTAGACCAGGGGCTATCGACAATGGCGAGTCAGCTGGAAGCACGCTAAATGTCGCACTGCAGCTGACCTGCGCCTGCCCCCGCAGTAGCCTCAGGCCAGTCAAAACTATGGAAGGCACAGGGTTTCCTGAAAAGCTGGGCCTAAAACCCTAAACCCTTAATAGTAATCTCAATTTTCTGTTCCATTATCCCTATATAACCCCAGTATAACCCTAATATTACCCCAATGGGAACCACAAACCCCAAATTAATTCGAGCATCCTCAGCTGCAGTGGTCGCCCACTGTCATCCACAAACACCGTCTCCGAAAAGGAAGAGTACATGACAACAGCCTCGGCAAGCAGGTTGCCAAAGCTGAGCCGAGATCGAGAACACGTGTGCTAGTTTCCACAAAGGAGGGGACCCCAAAAACTACAATCCCTAGAAGGTAATAGGTACCCCCAAAGAATCCCTAGTTCACGGAAACTGCCATAAATCAAAGCTCTCGCTGGGGCAGCTTCCTGCAGTCTGGGCACGCTCCAGTTCATGGCGGCATCATGCTGATTAAGAGTGAGATGACCCATTGTGAAACAGTTGTCACCTGAAGTCAACAAGGAAACGGAAACTTTGCATGCGACAGCTGCGGCGGCTTGAACATGCTGAACGTCGCCCAATTCTTGTCAAGATGCAGGCATCTGGCGGAATGCACTCTGGAGCCTGACCACCCAACGCCGGATGGGTGAAAACTTCATTGACTTCTTGGAGAGCATCCGCGCAAAAATCCAACATGAAGAAAGCAAAGCAGTGCTGAAGCCAAAGCAGCCTCCTGGCAGAGTCTCATGGATTTCGGCGCTGGCTGCAAACAACGGTCACCACCATCACCCATGTCGTCAGGGTCGAAGACCCTACACTGCACCTAGGGCAAGAGTTGAAAGCAACTGGGGTTCTGACTCAGGGTAAAACATGCTGGTGCAGGGAATTGTGAGTAGCAGGCAGGTCCACTGTGCCACCGTGCAAGATCGAATATACGTTTGTGACCCGGGGCACAACGACATGCAGCAAAAGACTCGTCGGCCCACTGCAATTCACGTTCAAGCCAGGAAGCGGATCTGTTCACAGCAGCCGTCGATGTAATGCAGTCAACTTGATCGCACGAGCCCCACTCTCCAGTCACCCAGGACGCACTGACCTTCAGACTTCAGCAATTCTGCGCCAGGTATGCGCAAGGCAAAGACTATAGAACTCCGATGCCAGATGATGCAAGGCTATGTGTAAAAGACGCCGACCTAGCAGCTCCAAAGCCGCGCCTGTGGCTCGAACGTCAGGCGTACCAGGGCACCGTACCTTCCATTCGCATGGAGCGGGAGTCAGCAACACAGACCAAGTTGGCTCGACGGAAGCTCATCCAGACTCAAAGAGTCTACGTTGGCAGCAACAATCTGCAGCAAAGGAGCTTCGCATCCAAGCCGGATAAGAGTTCACTGTAACAGTCCACATCGCCATTAGAGCTCACGGCACATTTGCATGTATCACCTCACAGCAGTCCACTCAACGAGCCTGGCCGTCAAGAATTTGGCCAGGCAGGGCATACAGCTCTCATGCTGTCAAGTGGGACAGGCCCGAGGGTCAAAACAAGCCATGTCCGCTCGGGGTTTATAGGGGACATATAAGGTAATATGGGTCATAATATAGGGATACATATCTACATGTGCTTCAGCTCGAGTCGCGAGTGCGGAATGCTTCCACCTCCACACGAACTTCCGAATTGACAACGACCCGCCCAAAGTTGATGTGACCACACTCCTGAGATGAGGTCAGTACACTCCTGGAAACTAACATGGAAACCCAAAAAGGGCCCTATAAAGACTACAGTCCTTCTAAAAGGGGACTATATGGGTTTCCATGTTAGTTTGGGGGAGGTAAGCGGTGCCAAGAGCATACAACACCTCTGGCAGGCCAATCTACAACCCACATCGCTGCTTCAAAACAACCATAAGAACCCTATATACCCCACATATACCCTATTATAATATAGTAGTTTCCATGTTCTTTTCCATTATCCCTATATAACCCCTAAAAAAACCTATCGTAATACAGTAGTTTCCATTTCCTATTCCATAATTATCCCTAAATAACACCCCCCAAAAAAAAACTATTGGAATATAATAGTTGCCATTTTCTTTTCCATTATGCCTATATAACCCCCATATATAACCCATATTCTAATGATTGCATCATCTTGGAGACCAGCATCTACCAGGGAACAGTTGTAGTCGGAAGCAACTTTGGAGCTGCACGTCACGGTCTGCCCTCCTACCTCGCCATTGCGGGCTTCATAGACTTCATGCGCCGCAAGCATACCACAGCTGGGTAGCTGTTAAGGAACTCTAGATTAAGTTGCTATAACAATGAAACCCTATTATAGGTACTATTAAGCCCTCTTATTTGCTAACTATACCCTATGGCCCATATTGTGGTAGCTTAACACCAAGTTCCTTAACAGCAACGCAGAGAGGAAGAATTGTCCCCCCTGGCTCAGCCTTGACGTTGACATGCTCATCTTTGGAATGCATGTCCACCTGGGCAGCCTCAACCTTCACCTCGCATCCGGACGCATTGCACAAGTCGCGGGCTGAAGCATGAGTTTTCGTGACTAGTAGGGAATAAGGAATAAGGGAATATGACCCCTATGTATTTTGTTCCCTTCTTCCCTGCTAAGAACCAGCAACTTTCTCCCTCGGCCTTGTAGAAAACATTTGGTGAAACCACGACATCGCGGTACTCCACGCAGCCAGGCTCGCAGCTACCCTCATGGCCAACAACGCCGACAAGGGTCCGATACCTCCACACAGCACTGGCAGCTGAAGCAACTGTGGCTGCTTGCAAATATTTCCTCATCCTCCCTTCTTGATGCGACATGGAACGATGCAGGAACCACCTTGCCTAGAATTAACAGGGCGGGATGTGAGCAAAACTGGCCCCGCCTGTCTTCACCAGGCCTCCACAGAACCAACGTTGTAGAAAACACGGGCTCACATGCCAACGCAACCAGCAGCCAAATGCGGACCACCGCTCGGGAAGAAGCCTTCAAACCAGCTGGCAGACAGAACTAGACAGAGATGACGCAAATGTGTTGAATGCTCTGTCTATCTGTAGCAGATTCTGAACGTTGCTCAATAAACACAGCCCACTACAGTAAATGGTTGGCGAACCCAACATGATCCGGAAGGGCAGCACTTGGTAGTTTCCCAAAATAGGGGGACCCCAATATAGGCCCCAAATACTATAGTCCTTATTCTAGGGACCCACAAAAAGGTACCCCTAATTTTGGGAAACCCTAATCCCCATAATCCCCTAAATAAACTAAGTTTCCATTTCATTTTCCATTTTCTTTTCCATTTGATTCTCCATTATAAACCATAAACCCTAAACTATTGGCCTAGGAGCTTTGGAGTTCATGGCCAGCGCCGGCCATTCTCTGCCAGATCGAGGGAGGTGGTCCTTGGAGCAAAGTGGGGGGGCCGGTTCCCAAACTTAGGGGCCCCTTTTAAGGGGATATAGGGATTATGTAGGGGTTATATAAGGGTTATATAGGGGTATACAGGGTTTAGGGTTCAGGGATTCCCAAAATATGGGGTACCTCTTTGGGGACCCCTGGAAAATGATTATGGTGTTTTGGAGTCTATATTGAATATATTGGGGGCGCCACTATTTTCGGAACCTACTGAGTTGGTCTTACCTTACGTGAAATAATTCGGGAGCTGTCTTCTTCAGAGACTGCTGAACGCAGAAGACTACGGTGCAAAGAATTCTTCGGAAAGCTTAAGGCTTAAGGTTGTGACTTTCGCCATGCCATACAGATCGGAAATATGAATACTGACAAAATTGCCTGGTATTGGGGAGAAGTTTCGAACGCAATTTGAGGGATTCACAATACCATCGGAGATTAATTAGAGGGAGTTGCGAGAGCATTGAGACGAGATTGAACTTGGGACCCAAACCGATGTGTAACATGCTGACGAATGATTCCAAAATCATTCGAAAGCCAGGACATAGACACGACTGATAATCCACATGCTTCCTTGTTATCAAGGCTTCACATAGCTGACATAGCTGATGGCTGCAGTCTCCTTCTCTGTGCCTCGAATGTCCCTCCGGTCTTTCCTTTCCGCACCCAGAATGAAGTTTGGGGACGGCGCCAACAGTTCGAGAAGTCATAACAACACTTCCGGCAGAGCTTGTTAGTTTTTTGCATGAATGCGGAAGTGACTGTACGACCGATCTGGTCAGCAGCAGTGAGACATGTTGGAGCATCGGAGCGGAGATGCTCTGATCCGGGGCTTCGGAGTTTGCAGCATCTGCTCGTGGCACGAAATTCGGGGGCTTCTATAACTGTTATCACTTTACAACAGCCTCGGGGTGCCCGCCAAACAAATCAAAAGCAAAGCTCCAAGCCAGGCTGCTTCAAAAGCTTCGAGGGTTGGCCAACTACGCAAAATACTATGTGAAACGTAACCTGCTAAAGCTTCATGCTGCAGCCAAACGCAACGCAAAGAATGTGCGTGAAGTCCCCTGACATGAAGATTGGACACAGTCGCTCTTACGCTCTGAGAGCAGCAGGTACCAGAAGTTCTCAACGATGTTACCCGTCTTCCTCTATGGGACACACTTTTTCCGCTTGGCTCTGCAATTCAGCTTCAGTGCCAAAGCGTGGGAGTGCCTGGCAGGTGGCAAACTTGCAGAGAGAGGGTTTAGAACGTAGGTTTAGGACAGACCAGGGTAAACATCTTCACATCACACCTTCCGCCGGGACAGGGTGTGCTCAGAATCCGAATCATCCGAGCTTCCATTATACATTTTCCATGTTCTTTTCCATGTGATTCTCAATCTTGGGGCGGTACCCCCAAACTCCATGTTTCTCTATGACCCCAGTTTTGGTTTCACTTCCCCTTCTCTTTTACATTCACTTCTCCACGATTGGGATAGCATCCCGGTATAGCCGGGATATAATTAACCCTCATAACCTCTACAACCCGTATAGATCCTTATAGAACCCTCTACAACCCCCATTAAGCTCCTATAGAACCCCCTATACACTCACTACAGAGCATCTGTAGATCCCCAACACCCATTCACTAAAACCCTATCTAACCCGAGCCACCATCCAACCACCACAAAATCACACTAGAACCCATATAGAACCTTGCACCACCAAGTTTCCCTAAACCTGAAAGCGTCAACCCTAACCCACACTTTGCCATTCTTCCGTGGGCTTTAAACCCTGAACCCTAAACCTTATAAACCATCAACGCTTAACCCCTAAACCCTAAAATCCTATACTATGATATACTATAAATACACCATAACATACTATCATATGATATAAGCATACAATAACATACTATAATATACCCTAAACTCTTATACTATCATACTACACATATACCATAATATACTATAAATATACTATAAATATGCCATAGTATACTGTAATAACCCCTAATCTCTCTCACAACCTTAAAGGGCCTTGGGCGGCTCGCTCAAGAAGGCGCTCCGCAGGTCTGCGCGGAGGGTGCCGCCGCCGGCACGGAGGCGCTTCACAGCCTTCAAGACGGCGGCTCTAAGGGATTACATGACATGGGGGGTTTCCCAAAATTAGAATTAAAGGTTTAGGTTCTAGGGTTTAAAGTGTAGGATCTAGGATCTAGGGTGTAGGGTTCAGGGTTTGGGGGTTTCCCAAAATTAGAGTTCAGGGTTTAGGTTCTAGGGTTTAGAGTTTAGGATTTAGAGTTTAGGTTCTAGGGCTGTGGTGTAGGATTTAGGGTTCAGGGTTTAAGGGTTTTCAAAAGTAGGGGTCCCTTTAAAGGAGATATAGGGGTTACACAAGAGAAAAAGGGGGACATAAGGGTATATACGGCTTACGGTTTTGAATTTCCAAAAAGTAGGGGTCCCTTTTAAAGGGGATATAGGGGTTATATAAGGGAAAGGGGTATACAAGGGTATTATATAAGGGAATATCAAGTTTAGGGTTTAGGGTTTCCCAAAATAAGGGGTCCCTGTTGGGGGCACCATTCTAAAAGCAATATTGCTTGGGGGTCTATGTTGGGTCCCCATATCTTGGGAAACTACCATTGAAGAGCTGTAGGAATTGCATGAGGTGATATTATGATTGCGCAGGGTTACGTACGGAATACACAGTTGTTATATGGGGTTATATAAAGATTATGGATTAGATAAGGGGTTTATACGGATTCGATCAAAGGTCATAAGGACGATATAGAACCCATGGACCTTCTGTTAGTGGGGCTACTACCCAAAAATGGAGCACCACATTGATGGAGAACATGGATGCGACATGATGCGACATGCCATAAAGCCAAATGATCGTGGTGCGTGTGCGCGCCTCATGAGATTTCCTGACTGCAGCAGACCCTACACCCTAAAACCTAAACCCTAAATTAAACCCTTAACCCTTGCGTGCCCTAAACCCCAAATCCTAAACCCTAACACTTAAACCTAAACCCCAGACCGTTAACCCTTAACCCTCAACCGCCTTCTCGTCAGAGCTTGCGGCAACGGCCTGGCAATGGCCAACCAGTCGGCAACACGCCCGGAACTCCTCTAGGCCCAGGTTTGCCTTGGTTTAAGGTTAAAGGTTTAGGGTTGAGAGATAAGGGTTTAGGGTTAAGGGTTTAGGGTTAAAGGTTTAGGGTTTAGGGCTAATGGCAGGGGTTAACGGTTTAGGGATGTTTAGGATTTAGCGGGTAAGTTACCACCTAGGGATATACGGGTTAGGGTTTAGGGCTTTTAGGTACCATCATATGAATAATATGATATATAATGCCAATGGGGTTTCCTTTTTATAGCATGTTTAAAACAAGTTCCTCCACAGCAACCCTAAGCCCTAACCCTAAAACCCTAAATCCTATATAACCCGATGTATATTTATGTATATATATACATATGTATAACCCTATCTGAGCTCCTATTACTATCTTAAAATAAACTCCTTAACACCAACCCAGTCGCCCTCAGGTTTGGGTTGGCCACCTGCCAAATCTCTCGCAGCGCGCGGCGCGGCAGAGCTGACTGCGCGATGAAGTCCTGGGTTGCTCTCAAGGGACTTAAACAAAGCTACCATAATATAGGTATAAAGGGTTTTAGGACTTAGGGCTTAAGTTGCCATAATATGGGGATACAGTAGATACTAGGGGTTTCCTTAATTATTTGTAGTGACTTAATCCGAGCACTAGTTTAAGAAAAGGGACCATATCTAAAGAAAAAAATTGGGAAAGTTAGTGGTCAAAGACTAGTTTCAATTAGGTGGCATTTCGTATGGGGAAAACGGACTAGATTCAAAGAATTTGTTTGGGGGACCTATCCTGATAGTAGACTATTAATAGAGATTCAATACATTCCTATTCAGTTTGTACTACAGCTCCAAGAGTCCCAATCATTCTTTTAATCTGGCGCCCTCCATTTCTTATTCTGGCGGGGGGGGGGCCCAAATTAAACAAGTGCTAGGATTACGTGAAATTAACAGCAACCCAGAGTCTGACTGCTGCGCCGCGACTGGATCCATGTCTTCGGAGCTGGGGGGCTGGTTCTGCGATTTTGCATCCAGCTCTTCATAAAGTGCATCGTACAGCTGAAGCTCGTCTTCGGTCCAGTTGGTCGGAAGGTTTGTTCCGAAAAACCCTGACGAGGTTTTGCACATCATCCTCTTTTGCTCCGCAGGGGCCGTCATGTCTCTAGAAACAGAGACTCCAGCAGCGTCTGGCGTAGGCGACTCGGGTGATCTTGACACCCAGCGTAACTCCGGATGCCCGAACGGCAAGGTCT